TCATCATCATCATCATCATATCCTGTATGTGTGTTATAAAGTAAAAACGAAAACTTTTTTACTTTTTTTTTTTAAACGTTTTACACCCGATTAATAATAATAATAATAATGTTACACGTTAAACAATAAAATAAATTTACGTTAAAAAAAAAAAAAAAACTGCATACGGATTAATAATAATAATAATAATAATAACGTAAACATTATGCGGTTTTCATCGTGTGTGTTTTATAATAAATAAGTCGAGTGAAAATTTTCTTTTTTTTTTATTTTGTTTCTTCGATAATAATAATAATAATACGTTAAAAAAAACAATTAAAACGTATTTTGTTTTTAAATAATAATAAGAAGAAGAAGAAGAGGAAGAAAAAGAAAGGTAGGAAGAAGAAGAAAATAAATAAATAAATAAAAATTGGATACAATTTGAACGGCTTCACGGTGGTTGCAAAATCGGCGGCGGTTTTACCGCCGGTCACCACGTTGACGGTGGCCACAACGGTCTTAACAACGACCGTTTCCTACCCATCATCCTTCGGTCATCCAGGGATGGCGGAATATTCTCAGGTGAGTTAATAAAAATTACCTTTTATTTCGAATTTGAAAAAATTTTTCTTTCCCTTTCCTTCGTGACGATGACGTCACATCAACATTTCCAAAAATCTTTTTTTTATTATTATTTACGACGTAATAACACGAAAACATTTTTTTTTAAAAAAATGGCGATTCGAAAAAAAAAATTATTATGATTATTTATTTATTTATTTATAAATTACACACGTTTACCAAAATATATATATATATATAATTTATGACAGAGTATAGGTGGTGTTTGCGAAGGTGAGAAAAAAATAATAATAATGATAATAACTATAATAATAATAATAATAATAATAATTTAAAAAAAAAATGCCGGCGTTAAATAGGGGTCAATTATATAGTCGATGAATCGATCGATCGATCGATCGATAATTCACGACCGTTGATTATTAATTTTTATTAATCTCTCTCTCTACTCCCTTCTCTCTCTCTCTTTCTCTCTCTCTAATTATTATTATTATCTATTTATTTATTTCCGCACACGAAAAATTCGTTTAAAAAAAAAAAAAAATTTTTTTATAAATGTATACTAAAGTATTTAATTTATTAAATGCCGAAATATATATGATGATGATGATGATGATAATAATAAAATATATATTTGATAAAAAAAAGAGATGATAATAATAATAATAAAATAAAATTAATAGCGTGTTAACTGTGTTAGGGAATCGCGGATGTGGATTTTTGATTTATTATTATATATTTTGTTGTCAAAAAAAACAATAATAATTCGAAAGGTTTTTTTTTGTTTAAACGATCATAAATTTATATTTTTCGTTTTTTCATATTTATATAAATATATACTTATATTATATAAATATATAAACAAAAATATAATAAACGATTTCGATAACCGCAACAACAACAACAACCAAAACGACAAAAATTCTTTTTTTTTTATTTACAAAACGTACCCGCGTAAAATATTAATACGGTTTTTTTTTATTATTTCTCCGGCGATAATTATTTATTTATTTTATTTAAATAAGTTTTATTTATTTATTTAAAATCAATTAATATTATTATTATTATTATTATTATTATTATTGTTGTTGTTTTTTTCCTCGTTTTTAAAGCCGAAAATAAAAAGAGTTACAAAGTTTTTTTTATTTTTTTATTTATTCTTATTCTCTTTAATAAAAACTAAATAAATAAATAATAATAATAATGATTTTTACGTTTATTATTAAGGGGTTCATTTGTTAATAATATTTAATTAATAATTATTATTATTGTTATTAAAAAAAATTTTGTTCGTTAATAATTCCCTTTTTACTTAAACGAATTCGATTTTTTTTAGAAAAAAATTTTTATTTAAATTAATTAATTAATTATTAAAAAGTTATAAGCAGGCAAAAAATTATCATTATTATTATTATCATTATTATTATCGGTACGGAGTTATTAAAAAAAAAAAAAAAATTTCTTCTAACGATTAAATGCATTTCGATGATGATTTACTCGTTTTTTTTTTTTTTTTTTTTAAATTATAAATATTTGTAATTCTTTAGATTTCATTCATTAAATCTCACTCTCTCTCTCTCTCTCTCTTTCTCTCTCTTATTTTTACCCAATAAAGATGAAAAAGAAGAAGAAGAAGATGAAAAAAAAAAAAAAAATTAAAAAACTCGTGTGTTAACAAGATGTTATTATTATTATTATTATTTTTACGTGGTTACCTTAATTAATAAACAAGGCGTCTCCTATCAATACTATCATTATTATTATTATTATTAAATAAAAATAAAATTGATGAGAATTCAAATAAAAAAAAAAAAAATTTAATTGGCCGTCGCAAAGAGAGAGAGAGAGAGAGAAAGAGTGAGAGAGAGAATAATATAGATATATACTGAAATCATTTTTCCCTTTGATATAATTAATATAAATATAAATGTTTAAAAAAAATTCTCGAGTTTCAAACCGATAATATAAATATTAATAATGATAATAATAATAATTTTTATATACCGACGGATTATTTCATTTATAATAAGTGATGATAATAATAATAATAATAATATTGATTACCGATTAATTAATAATACAAAGTTTTGTTATTGCTTAATAATGTTTTTGGGTGACGCGCGTATAAAAAAAATTTTTTTTTTTTCTTTAGTCGTATCCGTTGAAAATGTATAAATTATCTTTACGACTCGTTATCAAAAATTATATTTACATTTATAATAATAATAATAATAATAATAATAATAATAATAATAATAATAATAATAATAATAATAATAATAATAATAATAATATTTAAACTAATTTAAAAAACCTGCAAAAAAAAGAGTTAAACACGGGAACGCGCACACACACACGCGGGCATCATTTAAAAAAAAAATTTTTTTATTACGTTAACGACACGAATTTTTTTTTTTTTTTTTGTAAACCCATTTTCAAAAAATATATAAAATATTCGAAAAAAACTCATTATTATCATTATTATTATTGTTATTAGTATTATTATTATTATTTGTTTTTTAAACGGGATTTAAAATGAGAAAATTTTCCCGTTTAAATGATGGTCGGTTTTAGCCACGTTTTAAAATAAAATTAAAAGAGAAAAAAAAAAAAAAAAAGGTTTGCGCATCGAAGTTTCTCACGTTTTAAAAAAAAAAAACTAATGTAAAACATCGTACAAACAAACAAACAAACAAACAAAATATTGAAACGAACGAACGAACGAACAAACAAACAAAAAATAAA